AAACAAAGAACTCCCAGGCAATTAAAGAATGCTGGAAGACGGAGAAATAGTATTCCCCAGGGAAGAGTCCTCCAATTGGTATTCAATGCCAGTCCTGAAACTATATAGATACAGTAAGAGAAAATGGTCTGAGCATATTGTATTTTTATATTTGAGCACACACATGCACACACATACAAGCCTGTAACAGTAGCCATGTATGTATATGTATATAACAACAATCAAAAAGAGGGCATGAATTTGAGGGGGTGTGTTTATGGTAGAGGTTGGAGGAAGGAAAGGGAATGGAGAAATTATCTAATAATATTTTCATTTTTAAAAGCTAGCCTGTGAGTTATCAGATGATTTCAGTGTTTTCTGACCCCTTTAAGAAATTAAACCAACAATCTAGAGTTATAGACTAAGAAATGCTGTCTTTCAATAATAAATGCAAGCTATTTTCAGATTTTAAAAAATTACACGCAGATATAGTGACACACACCTTCAACCCCAGCACTCAGGAGGCAGAAGCACTCAGGATCTGAGTTTGAGACCAGCCCGGTCTACATAATGAGTTTCGGGACAGCTGGGCCTACATAGTGAGACCCTGTCTTGATAAAGCAAAACCACAAGAGGCTATCATAAACCAAAAGAACTTACTTTCTCCTTTTGAGACAGTGTCTTGATCTACAGCCCAGGGCAGGCTCAAACTTGGGATACACCTGCCTCAGTCTCCTGAGAGCTGAGATTACAAGCATATGCCACTTATGCCCAGTCTCACCAAAAGAACTTCCAAGGATGCTCATCAGGGTAAAGAAAGTGAGTGAAAGCCTCAGACAGACGCAAGTAATAAGGATTGTTATTTGAAAAATAAGGTGAACCAGCTAATTGTGCACATTGTAGGCTTTCAGAAAACACAAGAAGGCTAACGAGATGGCTAATCCCTGGAATTCACACAGTGGAAGGAAAGAACCCATTCCTGAAAGTTGTCCTCTGACCTCCACACACAAGCCATGGCACTCAGCCACAAACCCTCCAATAAATGCAAACACAAAACAAAACACAAAGATTGAATAATAGCACCAAGATCCGAGAAATAATCACGTTAAAGGCATTTCCTTCCCCAGTGGACTGTCTGCACTCCCACTCTGGAGACATGAGCCTGGACTTCATACATTCACCAGGGGTCAGACATAAAGGACAGCAAGGATGGCTACAGTCATCTCAGGAGTCTTGTCAAGTGCTGCAAGCCACGCCACAAAGGATTTGTAAGTGTTTGATAAAGGGGAAAGGGCAGGGCACTCCAGGCGACTAAGCAGGAAAGGACCAGAAGTAGTTGAGAAAAGTATATCCTGTTATTCCTCTATTAAGGTACATGCGTGTTCATTTTAAATCTCTAAACCCAAACCAAATAAACCTCCTCCTAGAAGCAATAGCAGAGCAGAGTAACAGTTTCAGAGGTCAGAAATCGTCTCTGACCTTGGGCGGGTCATCGGACTCTCTTAAGCCTTCAGCCTTGGGTGGTGTATGAAATGGCTACCCTTACCTCTATCACAATGTGTTCTGATGATAAATGAACTGACTCAAAAGGGAATGTTACAGCGCTGACCTCTTCTATACATTAGTCACTGAACAGGCGAGGACAACACAGAGGAGACAAACCGGGCAGGAAGTGGTTGCTACAGGGCAGGTTCTGGGACTGATGCAGGGAACAGAGCCAGGGCCATGTGAATGTATGCACCCCGCTTTTTTTTCCATCTACAACTAATGATGGTCTGAACAGCCTGCAGCTGGCCACCTCAGTTACTGTAACAGTAGCTTGCCAGAGTTACCACATGAACTTCCAGGCTACTAAAAGACACTCCCGTAAGAGGCTTACTAAAAGCCTTCGAGCCTACCCAAATTCATAATTTTAAGACAGTCCAAGAAATAATCACACTGACTTTTTTCAGGCTGACCTCTAATAAGGAACATAGCATTGTTTTCAACATAGAAAATCAACCAGGACACTGATGAGCCACCAACAGAAATGTCAGAAAAGGTATTCCAAAACACTTATAAAATTGCTTCACTGAAGAATCACATTCAGTGATACATTTTAGCATACTTCCTATATCCACGCTGGAATTATCCAAGAATAACCTGACAATAGAAAAAGAAGAAGAAAATAGAGACAAGTTTTTCAAACATGTTTTTATTTTTCTAGACCTACAACCTGAAATCCAGCACATTTTACAGAGATTACTTTGTATTATGTCTCTTCTACTTCGCTGCAAAGTGTTTACTGCCTTAAGAGCTGATCACTGTCCTGTTACACTCAATCAGTTGAAGTCTATCAACAAGGCACACACAAGCCTTCATCTCAGGAGACTCCTGGAAGATTACACGGAATGTTCCCAAAGAACAATTCTTTCCCTGCTGTACACATTGGTGGATGAGACAGCCGGTCACAGCATTCCTTCTCGGAAGTTTAAATCTTGAACACACATCAATGATATTGCAAAAGATTAGATACTATATATTCCAAGGACACAAAATCCAAGTATGGCACATGCATGCTGTCTATATACATATATATATGAATATATTATTAAGAAATGTTTCTTACCTGCAAATAACAATATAATACTGATTTTTTTTAAAAAAATACTGTATTTGTTTATTTTCATTTCTACGGGTAATAGTGTTTTTGGCTATTGGCTATCAAAAAGACTTAGCAGTCATATGAAACAGACATCTTTTCATAGATATTTTTAGAAATATGTCATGTGTGGATATACTTAAAAATCAAACAAGTGCACCTTTTGGCCACCATACTGGCATTAATACATGCACTGAAAAGCAAGACTGTTCCTCTATTTCACTGACAAGAGGTAAGGAACATGAATAATGCCATTTAGGACTTCAGCGGTCATTTAACAGCCTCCAGTGGTGTCCCCGTCCATAAACGCCGGGAGCACTTACAAGCCAACTCAGCCCTAGCTACACCGTCTTCTACCATACACGATTTGGGATTGCACTTATCTCTTCTGTCAGCTCTTAGTGGGGAAAGGCCTTGTCTTAAGCCCTGCTGCACTCCCTTTCAGCTCACAAGCAGAGTTAAGAGCATACTCACTGATTAATTAACAGCTATAGCACAGTAGGTATTTTCCACGGCAATGAGGAGATAATTAGGATGTAGATAAAGCAAGCTAAATGGAGAGACGGTTGTGTAGCAGAGTAGAAGCAAGACTGTGCAGAGGCTCTGCACGAACACGCTCAGAAACAAAGCAGATGAGTTTACTCGGCACAACCATTCTCAGAAGGTATAACACAATTTACAATGCCATCATTGCTGTTCTTTTGTTCTTACATGTGAAGCTGTGTGTGGTACAATTCCTTGTTGCCTATTTCTTTAATGCCATCTCATGTCTGTGTGAAAAGCCCTATCCACCCAAGCCTGAAAACCCAACACAAAATCAAACAACGTGCTTCTCCTCGGTAAACGCACACAGAATTCTGCTAATAAAAACAAAGGTCAATGTCTGTCTGACCTGTTTGACTTTTCATTCTCACTCTTGAGTGACAGGATTTTATTTTTAATAACAATTCTTTGGCTTTAAAAATCTATTGCCACCCAATTTTTTCTTCCAACCTCCTTTAACGTCTCAATGAAAATTATGCAATTCCATTTCTCAAACAACAGTTACGGTGCAAATTAAGCTGTAATGTGTGGTGGTGACAGCCTTGTGTCTTTATCATCTTAAATGTATGACACAGGGACAAAGCACACCCGCACATCTTCCTAGTTCTTCTAACAATGGTCTTGGTAGAAAGAATTTCTTTTTCCTTCAAATAAATATATCAAAATTCTGCAAACCTCTACTCTCTAGATAAAACACCATGTTTATGCCTCACACGGCGCTTCAAAAAGTGAGCTTGCCTCTTACCCCTCCCTTATCTTTTGTCTCACAACACCAAAGCACTTCAGTATTTTTACTTTACCACCCTTATGAAGTCACTGGTACGTTAAGCACTGGAGGGCTGATGAGGTAAGTACATGAGCAGAGAGGTCTGGACGACCGGCTAGCTCCTTCAAACTTGTCAGCAATCATACCAGACCCTCTGGAGCCTCGGGGCACCTTTATAGGTCACGAGGATTTTAAAACAACAGTGACAGTGAGCCACCTTTCCTGCACACACATGAACACAATCCCACTTTTCAGAAGTGAAATTACAGTTGGCCTTGTTCTCTTAGTTTTTAAGAGTTCAAGTACCCCGAACACGTCAATCTTGTTTTAAAATAACAATAATAATACAAAGTCCTGGGGGCAATTTGATCAGACACGGAAAAATCCTCCTTTCAAAGAAATGCACCCTGTGACACTTTCAAGGAGGAGAGGTACTTAAAACCTGTCCCTGAGTCATAAACACTGAATTGAGGAAGAGAAGTCAGTTGGCTTCCTGGAGCTTTAAAACATTTTCTCTCGCACCCGGGGGCTACAGGAGCTGTAAGTGAAATTCTTCCACTCTTCACTACTAAGAGTATTGCAGTGACATAAAGTCACACACGCACACACACACCCTCTACTTCACTGCCTTCTTCATCCCTAAGGTGCCCATGCCTCCCCACCCCGCCCCAGCTTGGACCTGATGTTACAAAAAGCAAAGTCATGGGGCAATGCGGGGGGTAGGGTGGGGGGGTGTATGTTTGCAAAAGGCTCAAAGATCCAGAAAAGCAAAGGGCTAAAGATCCCAGGACAGCCCCGGTGGATGAGGCTTGGCTGGCTCGTAGGCTGCCGCCGAGCATCCATTCAACTCGGGTGTGGAGGGGGTCCCAGAATGCTGGGGTCGGCACGAAGGCACCCGGGATGCCACCCTGTGCCCTTCCATCATCTCCCGGTCCCCTGGGCAGGGCCACCTCTGAGCAGAAGGCAGCCCGGCCTCCCCGCGTGGGGATGGGCAGGACGGGGTGGGGGGTCAGGCCGGGCTCGTCCAGGTGGCCGCGCCGGAGGAGGCTGGGGGTGGGGGGGACGACTCACGTTCTCCGTGTCCCGCTCGTTCACCGTGGGCAATGGCGTCCGCGCCGACATCTTGCGCGGGCGGCGGGGTCGGGCCGGGGGTCCGGCGGGGTCGCGGGCCGCTGAGGGCTTCGGCGAGGGCGGGCGGGAGGGCGGGCGCGCGGGAGCGAGCGAGCAGGCCGCGCCGGGGAGCGCGCGGCTCCCGCAGGCCG